CTCCCAAGTTTTTTTTCTGTGCTTGGGAAGGGACTGCACATTAAAGGAAAGGGAGCGTCTGTTCTGATGTTCTTTCCCTGCTTTTCCTTGGCAGGGTTGAGAAGTCCTTCTTAGCAGTAGCTGTAGGAGAAATGGAGATGCAATCTTACTACACCAAACTCTTGGGAGAGCTCAATGAGCAACGGAAGAGGGACTTCTTTTGCGACTGCAGCATCATTGTGGAAGGGAGGATTTTCAAGGCACATAAGAACATTCTCTTTGCTAACAGCGGTTATTTCAGAGCCTTGCTGATCCACTACATCCAGGACAGTGGGCGGCACAGCACTGCTTCCTTGGACATTGTGACTTCCGAGGCCTTCTCCATCATTCTGGACTTCCTTTATTCAGGGAAGCTGGACCTTTGTGGGGAAAATGTGATTGAGGTCATGTCTGCAGCCAGTTATCTGCAGATGACCGATGTGGTCAACTTCTGCAAGACTTACATCAGGTCGTCGCTGGACATCTGTCGGAAAATAGAGAGGGAGGCAGCCTTTTATCAGGCTGACAGCGGAACCTCCAGCTCTGCCAGGGAGGGCACATCCTACAGTGCAAAGAGCCAGTGCTCAGCTTCTGTTTCATCCCTGCAGGAGAAGGAAAGGATTCCAGATTGTCAACGAGACCCTCCCTGTGGGGAATGCAGCAGCTGCCATCCCATCGAGCTTGTAGTAAGGGACCCTATAAGCAGTGACTCACCAGACGACACTAACTCTTCACTGCCCAAAGTAGTGGAACCGAAAGTGGAATTTGATGCAGACGAAGTGGAAGTCGAAGTGGGTGAACGGCTGCCGCAGTACCCAACTCCGTTGACCATAGAGCAGATAGAAGAAGGGCTTCATAGTGGCCAGGCAATGGATCTGGCCTGCAATAATTATCACATGAAGCAGTTCTTGGAAGCCTTGCTGCGCAACAGTGCGGCCCAAAGGAAGGACGATGTAGTCCATCACTTTGTCCGTGGTTATGAGGGCAGGTCAGAAGATGCAGGAGTCCCCATGAGTTCCATGATGGATATTCATAATGACTGGTATGGAGAGGATACAGGTGAGACGAGTTCTTTAGACTATATTGGACTTCTAAAATGAAACTTTTTATTAAACAAAATAACCCAACGCATAACACAGTGCTGTGACAGGTTGTTTTGATTAGTCTTCATATAAAAGGTATTGTGTGTCTTTTGTTTTCAGACTTTTCAATGGCCATGGCAACTATCTACCTTCTATGTGATTTCTATGCCACAATGAATAGCTTTCTCTTTGAAATGTGCACATTCTCACTCTTCAGTATACAGGAGGTACCTCTTTATGTGATTTCTTTTGACCACATTTTGGAATTGCTTCTCACTCCAAACGGTGTATAAATCCATCTGATCAAACCTTTGAAACCTGCACATTAAGAATTAATATCAAAACTAAAACAAACCTATATTGGAGCTAATTTCAAAAAGCATACTGAATGGCATCATCTTTGTTTAGATCCAGAAATTAGAGGTAGGAGACAGCCAAACAAACAGCTTGGGAGGTGATTCCTGAGAAACTCCTGGTTTTTGAGGCAGAGAGATCTGGCCTCCACCTGAGATAGAACTTGAAGCAACGTTTCCTTTGATAGATCTGAAATTTTGAAGAGGCTCATAAGGGTTTATTCTCCAATATTCTCACAGCACAACAACATAATCAATAAACTACGTCCTTAGTACTGGGAGTATTCAGTTTCTGAGAAGATGTATACACCTGATTTGGAAACTAGTTTGTATTTGGAACTGGCATTTAATGCTCACTTTTTTCCTCCCTGAATTGCTGATGGTAATTGTGGTGAATAAGGAATTAAGGTTTACCTGAAATACAATGTTTTGTTTAATGTTTGTTTACCTGAAGTACAATGTTTAAAATGTTTTGATCTTGTGACTGATCTTGGATTTAGAAGACCATTGGGGAAAACACTTTTCTTTAAACATAGTAATGCCAGACAGCCCAGCTGAATCACTGTACTGTAATATTTCAGTACTGTAATATTTCAGAGAAAAATCTTGGTTTTACCTAGCAAAGACAGTAAACAAAGGTTTATTTTCAGTTTCCCTTTCTGGTTCTGAAATCCATAGGAGTCTGCTCGGGATGGACTTAGTTGCCTTTACGTCCTAAGTAAGCCTTTCTCTGCTGCCTTGAAGGCCCAGTTTTCACCAGCTTGGTGGAAGCTGGGATCTCTGCAGCTGCAGGAAGGCTATGCAGTAGCAGTCCCAGATGCAGAAGGAAAAATGTGTGGCAGAAATAGCACCCACAGCCAGTGTTCCCTCTAAGCTGAGTTAGTGTGAGTTAGCTCACAGTTTTTTCGCCTCCGGCTCACAGATTTTTGTCTCAGCTCAGGGAGGATGGCTCCAGAGCAAACTGATTTATGCAGTAGCCAAATCGCTCGCTCACAACTTTAATGCCAGTAGCTCACAAAGTAGAATTTTTGCTCACAAGACTCCACAGCTTAGAGGGAACATTGCGCCACAGCCCTGAAAATAGTTGCAAATTCTTGTTCCAAAGGCTGACTCAGTTGGATTTTTTAAAATCTTTTTTAAATAGTTTTATTGAATTTTGCATGAAACAATGCAGATGGAAATCCAGGGAAATAAAATATTGGATTTGTGGGTATTGCCGAGACCAGGTGAAAGGGAACTTGGCTATGTTTGTAATGGGAAGAGGTTTGAGCGTTATGTATGTTTGGAGCAAATCTCCATGTTGGTATTGACCTGAGATTTGATTGTTACCAGCATTTGGCACAGAGCTATTATAGGACTTCTGCAGATGAACAACTCCTTAGTTTCATATGCTTAGGTCATATGTGAGACTGCTGGATTTTGAGTGGATGTGAAAATCTGCAGAACCAGGGCTTCCACTAGTTGCAGTGTTATGCAGGTTGTAAAAGCGGGATGAAAATACATTTTGGAGGGCTAGCACAGTATATGGGTTAGACTGATGCAGGGGACTGGAGAGAGCTGGGTTACATTGCCCACTTTACTCTGAAGCTCACTGGGAAACTTTGGGAAACTCATGGCTCATTTTCTGTGTAACCTAACTCAGCAGGTGGTTGATTCTGGTATGTAATTTCTGCATCATTTAACGTGTCCTGTAAATGCTTATGCTTTGTTTCAGTTGAGTTTTCAGATTTCTGCCATCCAAATCCTATTGCAATATTTATTGGATGTCCCACCCTGTTGACTGTATTGATTTACACTGTATCAGCCGCTTTGAGTCTCAGTGAGAAAGGTGGACGTAACATAAATAAGGATAAAATCGAGAGGGAGAAAAGAACTATGTATGTTGCTCTGAGCTCCTTGGAGGAATAAAAATATGAGCATCCAATGTGGGAATGCAAAACTTTGAGCAGGGATAGAAGTTGTGAAGAAGCAGGAAGTGGGTGGGCTAAACCCTCTGATTAAAAACAAGCAACACTTTTAAATGGCGTGAAACTGGGCACTGGCCTATGCCAAGTAAGTTTGCTTTGGGCAAACAGGTGCAGAAGCTGTACAAATAGGAAGTACTGCTGCTTTTAAACTTTGTGTGGTTGATAAACTACAAATGGCTCTTGTAATGCAGGCAGGTGTGCTTTGTTAACAGAAATGTGGGTGTGTTCCCCCACCATTTTCTGGTAACCTGGTTTGTCAAACTGGTGTACACTTCTCCTTTTGTTCCTGGAAGTAGACTTTGGGCATCTCGGGGTCTTGCTAGGCAGTGTATTGTAGTGCGTTAGTCAGGTAACTTGTTACACAATAATGGTTAGTTGGTGATGTTGGGTTCAGATGTCTTTCCTGCAGATAAGAGTTTGTGTTGTAACCGAACTGCATTTCCCCAGCTTTTAGCTGTACTCTAGTTCCTTCCAGAGAGAATCCCATTTTTCTCTATGCGTTGCAGTAAGTGATTTGTGCCCGCTGTTCAGAATGCAGTTGATGCCTTTGCCCAGTTTTGTCATGACAGACATGACTCTTCCCTCCTCCACCCCTCATGCTGTTCCGCACCCTATGAAAAGAGTTTTTATTTTAAAAAAGAATGATTTTAAAATTGTGACCTCACTTAGTCAACAGTAGTTTGAATTGTCTGAAACGATATTGTTTTCTTTTCAAAGGGGATGTTCTAGTTGTGCCAATCAAGCTCCACAAATGCCCGTTCTGCCCATACACAGCCAAACAGAAAGGAATTCTGAAGCGACACATCCGCTCCCATACAGGCGAGAGGCCATATCCTTGTGAGATCTGTGGCAAACGCTTCACCCGGCAGGAACACCTTCGGAGCCATGCTTTGAGTGTAAGTGTGGAATGTGGCTGAGGTCTTACCAGTGGCAGTTGGAAAATGGGGGCTGTGTTGTGTGTGTGTGGAGTATGTGTCATTCAAAGAGAAGCAAGATGCATCGGGCATGTCTTCTGCCAGAGGAAAATGCCTGTACTAGTGAAATGGAGCTGCAAAATCCAACCAAATGATAAAATAACAAAATAGCCACAAAAGCATTAAGCATTAATAAGAAAACAGCAAACTTAAACCCATAAAACAGTAGATCAGTAGAGATCTAGAATGGCCGAGACCAGTGAAAATACAGGAATCTTAGAATCATAGAGTTGGAAGGGACCTCCAGGGTCATCTAATCCAACCCCCTGCACAATGCAGGAAATCCACAGATAACCTCCCCCACCCCGTGACCACTGTTCCACACCCAAAAGATGCCAAAAATCCTCCAGGATCTCCAGCCAAACTGGCCTGGAGAAAAATTGCTTCCTGACCCCAAAGTGGCGATCAGCATTTCCCTTGGCATGTAAGAAAGGGCCACAAGAACTAAGCACTGATGCAACCCTTCCTGCCCTCCCTCTCATGATCTGCCTAAGTTCACAGAATTGGCATTGCTGACAGATGGCCATCTAGCCTCTGTTTGAAGACCTCCAAAGAAGGAGAGCCCACCACCTCTCAAGGAAGCCTGTTCCACTGAGGAACGCTCAGTCAAGAAGTTCCTCCTAATGTTTAGCCGAAAACTCTTCTGATTTAATTTCAGCCCGTTGGTTCTGGTCTGACCAGAAAAAGGCAGGTTACCAATTGCCACCCAGGTCAAAAACACATTGAAATAACAGCATCTTAACATGACCTATAAAGGCAAATAGGGAGATGGGCAAATTCCAGATGTTTACTGGATTCGTTTCCATCAGTAGTTAGGTCTGTAAAGAAATAAAAGAATGATTTGTTGATTTTTAAAGTAGGCTTGAAAATAGCCACTTGCTTTTCACAGGGAGTAGTACATTCCTGGTAAACCAGGCAGAGGACGTTGTTTGTAAGGTTCCAGTTCCTAATCCAGCCCCAGTTCCTAATCCAACACTTTAAGCAGTACGCCACACTGGCTCTCTGACACACTGGCACATAAATATGTTTAGGATTGAGCTAGTGCTGGGACAACTCACCACCACCCCTCAACATTTATTTATTTATTAGATTTTTACCCCGCCCTCCCAGCATGGCCGGTACACAATCTGGGACATGCAATCCTGCTTGTTTTTTTAATCTTCCAGGTACATCGATCAAACAAACCAATAATCTGCAAGGGCTGCAGGAGAACATTTACGAGCAGCCTGTCCCAAGGATTGCGACGTTTTGGCCTGTGTGACAGTTGCACTTGTGTCACAACCACGCATGAGGATTCAATGCCCATCAACCTCAGTCTGATGGAACCTTCTTCAGAAGGTCCGGAAAAAAGTGACCCAGACAACGACTGGCCCATCTATGTCGAATCGGGGGATGAAAACGATCCGCCTGACGACGACGACGCTGATCCAGACCCTGATGAAAAGCAGAGCCTACACCGAGAGGCGCTTATGTAGCACCAAAAGTGGGGAGCAGGGGAGATCTAAATTGTTTTTTCCTGTTACCCATTTGTCCTCTTACAGCTGGAAACTGCATATTTATCCAGATTTGTGAAGGTTTTTTGTTTTGTTTTTGTGATATTAATAAATTCCATTTTGCTAGAACAGGTAGGAATGGTGAATTCGGAATTCGGAAATGTCTTTCTGACTTGTTAGTGCTGTACGCTACACATTAGAAAAGGATTTGGGGTCATGAGCGAGCAGAAGCCATGTTCCTTGCAATTTTGGGGTATGGAGCAAGCCAATGTACTTTTGCAAACGATAATCTTCTTTGTATGTTTGATTCTCTCTTTCCCAATTGTCCTTCTACCTGGCCTCAGAAGGGATGCTGTCCTAAAAAGAAATTTGAGATGTCAACCTTAATTTCTGTGATAATTTTCTACCACTGTTGCTCTGTTCTTCCTGCTGTGTTATCCCCAGTCCTTAATTTTGTCTTTGGTAATGTAGAATAGGATTGCACCAAAGACAATGGGGATAAAATCTGGTTACCGATACAAGCGTATCCAGTAAGCACAGATTTCCAAAGCAAGTACACAATTGGCTCTGAATTTTCAAGCATTTTTTCTCTGCACCTTTATTTAAAGTAGGGTGTTGCACTTCTGGTCACTCTTGAGCTTCGGCAGGGATTCTGTCCTAGTCAGGCAGGTAAGGAGCTTCCTTGGAAATCTGTAAATTGGCCGGGGAACTGACGACCACAGTTTCATGGAGCTGGCATCGCAAGGGGGCTTTTCAGACTGGGCCATGTGAGCACTATTTGACTCTTCATTTGGGGGAAGGACCCTTTGCTGATGCTTTGCATGCAGCAGGTCCTGGGTTCATTTCCTGCCATCTCCACTTAAAGAATCTCAGGTAGCCAGTGTTGGGGAAAGACCTGATGTGTTGGAGGGATGCTGCTAAGCAGAGTAGACAATCCTCTAGACTAGAGGGACCAATGATCTGGCTGTGCATAAGGCAGCTGTATATCTTTCCATCTTTTAGAATAAGTGCCCAAACCTTCCACACAGTCTTCTTACGGTAGATTAACAATGCAGCGTGGTTACTCACCTTGTTCTGATTCACAACCCATTAAACCTCTATTTCGGCATTACTGAGAATGTTGTGTGGGTCCCTTGCCCACGTTTCCCTGCACATACTCTGCTTTTCTTCAACACATCTGCCAAATCACACCTGCTTGTGTGTCTGCAGCACTGGAACAGCTGCTGTGGCAATGGCAGGAAATCCCTCATGATAAAGGATAAAGTTTATAAGAGGGATAAATGCAAAAAGAGAGGATCTTGTGAAACAAAATAGAACAGAAAGAGAGAGGCTGGTGGGTACTTGTTGGCATTCTTAACACCTCAGTTCATCCCCACCTGTCTATTTTTGTTAAAGATTGCTTTTTAACTCTGACAGCTTGTAGCAATACTAAGATTCTGGACACTGTTGCTGGCTGGTCATGCTTACCAGGTACAAATGGGCCTGTTTCCTTCCAAAGCGTCTATCAGCCATGGTCATGCTAGCCAGAGGCCTTCTGGTCCCTTTCCAGCATGGCTCCTTTGCTGTGGTTTGTGAGTTGGATCTTGATGGTCCATTCGTCTTGTAGAGATGCTTTCTTCCATCCATCAGGAAGCGCCTTTCCCTGATGCAGTAAGCCCATTAGAACCTCCAGCATCAAAAGTAGGCTTCTTCTGCTGAAGAAAGGCGCCTCCCCTAGCTGAACAGATCCTTGGGAGCTGGGACCCAATCCTTTGCTGCTGTGCTCTGGCTCACTGTTCTCCTGCTATGTGTTTCAGCTGCTTGTACAGATGGTAGAATGTGTTGGTTCCTAAGATGGGTTTCTGTATTTGTACTGTCTTTTGAATGTTTGTTACAATTCAAGCGTGGACTCTCCTTCCTTCCAGCTAAATTAGGGAGAACATGAATTGGCTTGTTAAAGCAAGTGGAATTAACTTGGTTGACTTCTCTAGCGCTGTTGACAACAGTTGTTGGTAACAAGCTGAAGGTAATGAAAGTTACTTAAACACTAGATTCTGCAAAAGGTTTAAAAACCATACAGCCATTTGTAGGCACTGTGGTCCCAGGAAGCGATTCCGTGCAATCCTGACTAAATGAAGTAGCGCTGAAATCGCTTTAAGAAGGGGATCGTGTTCCTCCTACAAAAGAAATGTACTCACAAGCCATCTGTTTGTCTTGCTGGCTGCGTTCTGTGTCACTTGTGAAGCATGACAGGTCGTGTTATATCCTGCTTTACCCATCTCCTTCTATGTGAAATGTAAATTCTGTTGTGATTTCACAAACTGTGAGTGGAAAAGGGATTGTGATAACCCAAATGTAGCATTGTGACATCAATGCAAGTTTATGTGGGATGAAAAAGAGGGCACGGGAAGAAGCAATAATTTTGTGTAAACAAAAAGAAAATTTAGCAGGAAATTTACAGTCTGCTCACCTCACATTTCCCTGGAAAGAATCAAGGCCCCTGAATCCAAAGTCAAGAGAAATCACTACTATTTTCATTGGTTTTGTTTACTAACAGGTGACAGTTTCCAGTAATCGCATCATTCATAAACTGGTGCTGAATAAAAAAAGTGAATTGTCCCACCCTGGAAGCAGTCAACAACTGCTTTCCAAAAGACTCCATCTGCAACAAATGGGCTGGCTTTGCAAACCAGTTTAGACTTGCTTTGGGCTCTGGCTTGAAAACAGATTCCTCCCACGTGTGGCTACTGGGAGTGTGTTGCCCATGGAAAGCCAGCTGGGAGCACAACCAGTGAAGCTAACCAATTAGCAAGGAGTGCTGGGATGCTTGTCCTTTGTTGCCATTTTGACAGCTTGTTACTTGGAGAAGGCTCTTCGGAGGCCACTCAACTCTGCTGGGGACAGACTGGTGGACTTGTGTGCCAAAACGACTCCTTCTAGTGGCTTAACTTTATTTTACACAATGTAAGGCAGTCTGCTGAGGCATGTTAACAAGAAGAAGGTTCAAGACTCTTCTGGATGTTAAGATCAGTGAGAGATATGTTTTACTTTGGCCTATTCCCTGTGGTCTTTAGAAGTTTTCTTGTGTACCTTGTGAGTAGAGAGTGAATCTCTTAACGTTTCTATGTCGGGTGGGGTGGGAAAGAAATTCTGGTTTCATTCCTGTTCAGCTAGAACTCAGATTTTTGACTGTTCTGTTTCAAGTTGACACTTTTCAAGTGGCTCCTGTCTACCTTGTGCTTCACTGGAAAGGATGCACTTTATTGGCTCGGCTGAAGTTCTTATAAATCCACTGTCTTTCTTCCTCGGTTTGAGGACGTTTCCCTCCATTATAAATGTCTCAAGTATGGTGCAGTCCTAAAGATGTTTAATGTGGTGCTCAAATGGAAACAGGTTTCTAATGTGCTCTTCCTCCTTCCCCCTCCCCCCTTTTTGGAAAGGCCAAAATCTCTACATAAAAATCTTGATGTTTCTTAGGGAGAACCTCAGCTGTTTTTCCCAATGTAACTCCTGTTTCTCTATGTGTAGCAGATGTATTAAATGGCACATTGTACTGCTTGATGGAGCATTTGCTTTCTTGCAGTCTAATTCCTCAGTCATAGAAACACTTTTTTAAAAAATTGGATCCCATTCATGGCCATTCATGGCTTTTACATGGGATTGCAGTTTTAGCCTTTTAGAAATTCCTAATTATTTGGTTCATAATGAATGACAGTTTTGAAGCTGAAATCCCTAAAGCTAATTTAACAAATGAAATGGAATAATTGGTATTCATCTAGTAATATAAACCTGTTATTAGAAATTTAGGAACACAATCCTTTAATTCCCAGTTTTAATCCACCATTGCAAACAAAACAACAGGCCGGATATCGTGGGCCGGTCACACAGGCCGGATATTGTGGGGATATTGCCCCGGCGCAGTTTGATGCGCGATTACACGATCAGACATGCCGGCGGCACACCACGGGTCCTTCCCTTGGCACTGGCAGGTAAACGAGGGACCAGAGGGGAATGCCGCACGCCAGCGCGATCACACCACGGGCGTCTGGAGGCAGCCCGTGGCAAACGTTTACTAGTACCTTGGAGATACTAGTTTTTTAAGGCGCATTGTCGGTGGTAAGTCACGGGTGCGCTCTACTTCCCAGATGTTGGGGTGTGATCACACCCAGATAATCCGCCCACCATCCGTTCCTCTCCCGCGGCAACTTTGCCGTGTGACCGGGGCCTAAAAACAACAACCCAAACTAATGTGAATTAATAGTTGAAAAGACTGATTCAATTTCAAGTCTGCTCTTAAGTAGTTTTCATGGGTTACATTGTAAGTAAACTCTTCCTGTCCTTGGGGCCAACAAATTATGCATGCTATTGTGGGGACCGTCCTATGAAATCAATGGAGTAATAGCTGAATAGACAGTTTTTGAATTTCCGCTGCAAGACTTCAGCTAATGCCACATTTTGTCTTTGCAGCAAGTGGATAATAAGATGATGCCAACTCCAAACCAGAAATATTTATGTAGCACCATATGGGTACCTGGCAATGTACCGTGTTTGATATGCACAAAGACATCTCTGCCCCCAAGGAGTTTTCAGTCTTAAAGCAGACAATGTGGAAGCAAAGAGAGAGGATGGGGGTGGAATGATTAAGACAGATTTGTGGAGGACTGGTCTCTCAGTGGCTACTAGCATGATGACTAAAGGATGCCTCCACATTTAAAGGCAGTAAACCTCTGAATACCAGTGCCAGCAGGTAGCATCATGGGAAGACCTTGGCCTCTATGGCCTAGTGTTGGCCCTCCAGAGTAACTGGTTGGCCACAGTGTGAGACAGGATGCTGGACTAGATGACCACTGGTCTGATCCAGTTTGTGACATACTCATATGAAGTTGATTGGGAGTAATTCAAAAGCTTATTGACTTCTTTAATAGATCCTATTTCTGGTCCTAAAGTGGCTCAGTAAGGGTGTAGTCCCAATGTTCCTTGCACATGTAGTTGTTTGTGCATGCACACTGAACGTGGGACTTTCCCATTAACTTCTGGGTCAGGGACAGCTCTGCAATCATCTGACATGGTCAGAGAGGCAGCTTGTGTCCCCCAAGAGTTCTCCACTCTGGAACAGCTGTGGAGCTTTGATTTACTCCATATACAACCAATAAGAGAAGGTGTACGCATCCAACAAAAGGCTCTTGGAGATATGGGAGAAAATTACCTTTCATTGTTCTGCCTTCTGAACATCATAATATTTAAATATAAAGCATTGGTATCCTGCAGATCTCTGAATGAAGGGCTATTTCACCTTGAAATAAAAATAAATGCACTGTTAGGGGACTACAAGGGGAGAAGGAGCTGCAAGATATCTGGAGTCTTGGGGACTCAGCATTTTCTCTGGCTCACAAAAGTGAAAATGGAATTAAAGTTCCATCACCAGCTGCCTAATTTCCAATGCCTCCCTTTTCCTAAGGTTTGGATCATTGTGTGTTTGCATCCAGGTGGAAGAGTCAAAAATCAACCAAAGCTGAGAATCTGCAAAAATAGCCACCCCAGCAACCATTATAGCCTCTCTCTCTTTTTCCCCTAGGAGTGGAGCAAGTGCTTTTTTGTCATTTTTGTTCCTACAGTGGTGCATTTTTTTGAATCTTGGATGTTGAAACTGTCTATTTACTATACATGTCTATATAGTTGTAGTCCAGTACTTTTATAGCTGAAAATGTGAAAATAAATATTAAGATAACACAACAATTATGGAATGGCGTGTGTATGTGCTGAAGGAGACAGCTTCCTGCACATAAGGGCTGACGTACTAATATGACAATTTCCCCACCTCCATGATATGTGGCTTGATTATCAGGCAATTTGCCTGGATCCAGTAAGGGAGAGCTGACTCTGGAAGCCACCTTGAAGATGTGTAGGTTCTAAGATTCTGCACCTGAATTCATATCTTGCTGTGCGCATCCAGCCCCATTAAAGGGGCTGGATGCAACTTCTGATGCTGCTAGAGACCAGAATTTTCCCAGGGAAGAAGGCAGCAGTCACAGTGAGCTTGCCTTTGCCCAGAGCTGGATCAAAGCCATTGACTTTAAATGGGAACTTTCCAAGGGTCTTGCATAGACTGACTGGGGAACATGGAGTTGCTGAGCACTCAAACAGAATTCTATGGCTGCAGTATTCTGGGTGCAGGGAATCTCTTCCAAGAAATGTGCTGTTGCCCATTCCAAAAGACCCCCATTGGCTTATGAGCGTAAAGGAATGGGGAGGCAGGGCATTTTTGTTCTTTTACTAATTTGCACGCCTTTCCAGGGAATTTTCATTCCCTGCTGTTTGAGGTCAGCGAACACAGGTCTCCATTTATGCTGGGCCAGCTTGAACGTTAGAGAGGGCAAATTCAGCAGCTTCCCTGGGGGGCGCCACTCCATGGAGTTCCTGCCCTTGGGTAATACCCCCCCCCCTACCTGACAGGAATAACTCCCTCCGTTCTGCACGTTGGGGCTCAGGGGCAAAGTATCTGCCTTGGCATGCAGAAGGTCCCAGGTTCAATCCCTGGCATTACCAATTAAAAGGACTGGGCAGTAGGGGATGTGAAAGATGTCTGCCTGAGACCCCAGAGAGCCACTGCCACTCTGAGTAGACAATACTGACCTTTGTGGAACAATAGTCTCAGTATAAAGCAGCTTCATATGTGTGTTCATGTTCTACAAGCAGGCAGGGGTCATTTTGTAGAAAGAGAGCTAGGGGAACTCATTAGCATAACTCATTAGCATATGCCACACCCCCTGACATCACCGGAAGTGTGTCATAAGGCCACACACCCTGGCATCACCGGAAGTGTGTCATGAGGCCACACACCCCGCCTCCAACGGTCCCGGCTGCCGGTGCCGGCCTTGCAGCTCCACTGCCGAGCCCCATGAGGAGCCCGGCGGTGGACCTGCAAGGCCGGTGTGAGTGCAAGGAAGCCCCACAAATGCCCTCCCTGGCCTCAGGCAGGCAGGGGTGGGGAGAGGCAGGGAGGAAGCAACTTACCCGCCCTCTTCTCCTGCCTCCTCCTGGCTGAATGAGGGCCGGAAGCGGGGCGGCCGGAAGCGGGGGGCGGGGCTTTGTCATGTGCCCCACCCCCCGTACCTCACCCAGGGGAACTGCGATCCCCCGCGATCCCCCCCGAAATGACCTCTGCAAGCAGGGTATTATTGGGAAAATACAAGATAATTTAAAATATATATTTTACTTTATTTACACTCTTTTCTCCCCAATGGGGTCTCCAAGTGTCTTACAACACTCTCCATTTTATCCTCACAACAACAATCCTGTGAGGTAGGTTAGGCTGAGTGTGTGGCTAGTCCAATTAGGTCTCTCCCCTCTCTGTTGCTCTTAGGCCTCATTTAAAAGAGATTTCAGCCCAAAGCCCGACTTCTGGGAATTTGCACTCCTGCAAACTGGACAATGTCTCTTTCAAATCCCCCCAGAAGCAGCCAGTGGGAGGGAGATTACATTGGGCAGAGGCTTTGGCAGGCCCAAGCTAGAAATTTTTTTATTGAGGGAGATGCATACAGTGGAGGGCAGCCACTGCATGTCAAACCTAGTTGGGGGGGGGGGGCAGTGCCAAGACAGTCTGCAGTACAGTATTCCTGCCACGGGCTGTCTTTGTGCCCTGGCGGTTGGCCCTCCAGCGCAACTTGCTGGCCGCTCTGTGAAACAGGATGCTGGCCTAGATGAACCACTGGTGGGATCCAGCAGGGCCCTTCTGCGGCTCTTAACACACTTGGGTGCCCCGCCTGTCGACGCTTTCAAACCCGGGAACTCGCGACAAGGCAGAAGCACACCCTCCGCTCGGGCCTTTGCGCTGGCGCAGCGTCTCGTGGGAATTGGGCTGCCGCCCGTCCAACGGGCGACAGCCCGCTTTCCACTAAGCGAGTCGCTGCGCGAATGGCCATTCCTGGGACCCGAGCCAGACGCTGCACGGTGGAGGCGAGGGAGCCAAGCGCCCGTGCGGCGCGGCCTTGGCGCCCCCTGGCCGGCCAGTGGGCGTGCGCAGAGCTGCGGGCGAGGCCCCTCTGGCCGCGCACAGTGTGTGTG